ATAAAAAAAAAGAAAGAGTTGAGTACTTGAAGTGCAATTCAGTTGAGCATATATGAATGTTGCATAGAGTTTTGATGGGAATGATTGATGTGGTGCTGATTTTGGATAGGTGGTGGGATATTTGAATAGTTCATATGCTCGAAGATGTGATTGTTTATTTGAGCCATTATGTCCTTATATTTTTCCTTCCCTGATGCCTACATTGCAACCCAAAAGTCCTTTTGATTTATAATTTATTATTTTGATTGTTTTAGAGTATGAATAGACAATGAGCAAGCTTATGTTGATGCATGATGATCGACCAATTTGGGAGTCCCAGTTCTATATTCACGAAAGAAACTGAGTGAGGCATATACATATTATACTCCCGTGCTTGAGAGTTTGTCTTATCAAAGCATTGCATTCGAGTTGTAATTGAGGTGTGCTATATTGGTCATTGGAACTTTCCTCGGCTAAGTTGATTAATTTGAAACTTGTCTTGACTGAAACTATTCTCCATACTCATTTGCTTGTCGAGTCTTTTCTTTTCTTTTCTTTGTTCGGGACGAACAAAGGTCTTAGTGTGGGGGAGTTGTTTGTCCCATTTTTGTTAGGATTTTCGTGATTATTTTTCCTTTCTTTTCCCCCATTTTATATTTTTTCTTTTAGTTTTTGTCCGTTTTGTCTCTCGTCGTGTGTTTTCTCCTATTTTAGAGTCTTTGTGTTTTTTCGGTTATTTTGGTTCCGGATTTCTACGTTTTTCTTGTGTTTCGTGGTGTGCAGGTTGAGTCCTTGGTCGAACTTGGATATGGAGGGAAGAATTGATTTGATGAGCTTAATTTCGTACGTTGGCGTCACACGGGAGAAAACATAATCGAATTCGTTTTCCAAACGAACTCGAACGAACACAAAGCAGTCCAAGGAAGTTTAAGCTCTCGGGCCAGAAAATGTACACATTTCAGCACCATCGAGAATTTATCCAAGATTCAACCTTCTCTATCTGCCAACAACAGATTTCCGGGACAAATTGAACTAAACAGCACCGGAGATCCTGCAGCTTTTCCCAGACCGAATCAGTCCGACAAGGCAAGCCCGAGCAGACCCTTCTTAGTCGTAGGATGTAACCCAAATTTCCGGCGGCCAGAGCAATCGGAGCAGACAGGTGCTACATCTCCCTCACGGCGGACAGCAGCTCCCCATCACGGCGCGGCGAGGACTCTCATCACGGCGTGGCACCAGCACCATCACGGCGCAACAGCACCTGCACGGAGCGGAAGCACCTGCACGGCGCGGCCCTTCACCCCTCCGCGGCACGACATCTTCCTCACGGCGTGAGTCCCACCTACTTTTTTCACGAGCTCCGCCCAGATTTTATGGCCGCGGCCGCGACTTCTCCTCCGCGGCCGCGGCGAACAACAAGCAGCTCCCAGCGCTCAACTTCAGAGAGGAAAATTCGCGGCCTCGGGATGAGTCGCGGCCGCGGGACCATCGTTCACCGCGGCCCGTGAGCTCCTCCGCGGCCGCGAGGCGCGCGCAGATCAGTTTTTTTATTTAGAGCAGATTTTGTTTTTGAATGAAGGCTGGGCCACCCAGCTAGGTTTTATCAATTTTTTTTGTTCCTTAGTTTTGGAAAAAAAACTTGTTCTTTTGATCTTTCTTTAATAATTTTCGACGGAGAACACGGATTGAACCTCAGAATTTGCTATTGTTTTCGGATTCAAGCGTGTTATTCGGATTGTCATTCATCTTCGGATTTATTACTCGTAAGATCTTCTTTCTTTTCAATTAATTGATGAATATGGATTCGTTGATGATGATGATTTTGACCGTTAATTCGATTATGAATAGCTAAATCAATATGCTAGGGATTAGGGGATTGATGTTTTAATTTGTTTGTGATTGTCGGGCTTGAGATTGTTCAATTCGTGCGAGTTGCTCTTTTTCTAG